CACACACACACACACACACACACACACACACACACACGTCAACCCTGCGTGCAGGGAAATCACCTGGCTTCTGATGCCCCCGCCCCCTCACTTCTAAGGAGTCTGTCCCTACTCCTAGCACTGTCGCCTGGGGTTTCCCGGGCTCTGGGTCTGCATGGAAGCTGACTGGCTCAAAAAGCTGGTGGGTTTGCCCTCCAGCCTTGTGATACGCACCCCTGCCTAACCCAAGGTGCCTGCCCGTCAGGACTCCTTTTTGACCCGGATGCTACTCCTTGGGAGCTGTGTTTTGTCAAAGGTGGCCTGGTGGTGGACGGGTCAAATGCTCGACTGCCAAGCCAAAAGAGGTCTGGGGCTGGAACCTCCCAGTGGCTCCACAGGAGGAGACCTGCAAGCTCTTCCAGGAAAGGTAACTGCCTGGAAACCCCTACTCTACCTGTCTCACTGTCGCGCCCAGCACCCAGCGCCTGCCAAGTGTGACTCTCACCCATCTCATCCTCGACTTTGATTCAGAGTGACCCTGTGGGACAGAACCGCTCCTTTGGGGAGCGGACAGCCACATCTTTCTCCTAAGGAGCAGCTGGTGGGTTTGAACCACTGATCTTATGGTTCAGCAGTCCAACGTTTTAACCCACTGTGCCACCAGGGCTCCTTAAAGAAGCATGTAGAATACAGATGTAAAAGAAGGCTCAGAGAAGGCTCCAGAAGTTGTCCAAGTCACATAGCTCCTGAGTGGCCGAGTAGCCTTGCTGTCTCCCCTAGAGGACACCACCATAGCAGAGAGAGGCCAGCAGCGAGCCAAGGTCACTCCCTCCAGGGGGAAACAAATAGGATTTAGAAAAACCCTGCAGCTGAGCAGGGCTTTAACCTGCTGTGGCCCCTTAGCCACTCAGCCCTGGGCAGCTGAGCACTGCCATCTGGTGGTAACCAGAGCAAAGTGCCCTTCCTCAGGAATGGACCACAAGGTGGACTCAATGGTCACCAAGGGGTCTTCTGGAGAGTTGTGGGGTCGGGGGGTGCTGAGGCCAGAGGGCATGGGTCTGTCCCAGGAGGCATCTGCTTTGCCCTATAGACAGGAGCGTATCCTGGCAGATTCTGACTTGGGGAAGGATCTGGGGTGGGAGGTCATCTTGTGCCCACCTTGGTGTGATGTGGGCACCTCATGGCTGCATGCCTTGTGGCGTGTGTCTAGCCATCCACTTCCACAGCCAGCGGCATTTCTGCTGTCTGGAGCTCTGGGCCCTGAGGTGGGGAGAGCCAGAGAGGAGGTGCTATGGCATAGGATGGCCCGGGAGACAGGGTGGGGTGGATCTGCCCGGGGGCAGATGAGCATCATAGCGAGAAAGCGAAAGTCCGAGTGCTGTCCACAGAGGGCGGAACATGCAGCTGCTCAAGCGATGATGCGGATAACTGTTTATTGATATGGAAAGATGTGCACAACATAAGTGGAGAATGCAAATTGCAAAATAATTTGTGCAGCAGGAGTCCACTTTTTTTTTAATGTGTTTGTATGTGTGTGGGGAAATCTGGTAATGTTTATCTCCAGGTGGTGAAATTACGGCTAATTAAAAATGTTGTGCTCTGCTTTATCATCTCATTTTTTGACAAGGAAATCTGTAATAAAAATCATGGGAGTTTGGAACATCAGCACCACCAGACTTACCAGCCTCTTTGCTTCTCTGGGTCAAGACCTTGATGTGGTTAAGGGCTGAGTGCTGAGATCCATCTCAGGGCTGGGGCAGGGGTGAGGTTGGAGACAAGGCACCACCCCCCTCCGGGGTAGCAGCAGTGGGTCGGGGGTGGGTGCTCTGTCTCCTGGTGCTGAATGAACCAGCGTCTCATGACTCAGTTGCTTTGTTTGGAGTCGACGCCCACTCCGGGAGACCCCCGGGTGTCACAGTAGAATTGAACATCATCGGGTTTTCTTCTGGGTGGATTCGAACCTGTCCATTAGAGCTATTAACCACCTGCAACACCCCGGGCTTCCGAGTCTCAAGAGAGGGAGAGGTCCCCAGCTCCTCTGACAAGTTGCTAGGTTGTGTTACAGTTTTGCACTCATTTCGAGAAGATTCACTGGAACAAAGAGGGGAGACTTGCCCAGCGACCGGGAAGGGCAGGCCCCTCACCTAGCCAAAGAGAGTTGGGACAAGGATGACTAACCCAGCCTCACTCTTTCATTAACGCCTCCATCTGCCCCCAGCTCCCCAACTCAGCAGGATCAAAGGCACCCCGCCTCACTATTCCCCTCCACATGCAACTGGTCAGGACCTGGGGATCCTTGTCTCTGCGCCCCAGAGCTGGGGCTTGAAGGGGAGGTCTCGGGGGTCTGGCCCCAGCAGGACTCATGTAGAGTCCCAAAGGAAAGAGCATATGCAAGTGTGGGGTGGGGCTCCTGACAGGTTCAGGGGTCTGAGCTGGCTGAGAGCTAGCAGGGCATGGGTGAGGGGTGGGCAGTCAAGCCTGGTCTGCCAAGTCAGAGACCTGGCAGAACCGAGCAGGTCATCCCCAAGGATCTGCCCCTCATGCCACCAGATGACTCACCTTGGCACAGGAACAATGGTCAGAGTGGGCACAGAGCCTGCTCCCGGCAGGCCCCTGTCCCCCCCCCAGATGCTTTCCGAGAAGTGCTGTGAGCAGGGGCCTTGGGACAAAAGCCCAGGGCCCCTGGGGGCTGCCCTGCAGTGTGGCGCCCTAACTGGCAGTGGAGAACAAGGCTCCTTTTAGCAAGTGCCCGGGAAGCCCCAGGCCTGGGCAGTGGGCTGTCTGCTTCCCAGAGGGCCGAGGGCACAGATTGGTGTGGGGTAGGGTAGGACCAGAGTGGAGGAGGTGAACCCAGCTCCCAGTCTGGACTCAGTGGCTCCTATGTGTCCAAACTCACCCATCCCTGGAGACTGTCCATCGACCGGACAAGTGTTTGGGAACTGATGGAAGTCCTTCTCCAGCGGGGCTGGGGGGTAGGGAGTGTAGGAGGGAGACAGGGTGTCACACAACAAAGCTGTAAGCAGGGACAGCCAGCTCATCCGTAACTGCTTTGTGGAGCTGTCAAGGCCTGGCTCCGGGAGGGGTGCAGGGAGGCGGGGCGGGGGCTCAGAGTGCCCTCGGAGAGGGCTGGGAACACAGTACTGGGGCCCCTCTCTACCCAGACTCCCAAAGCCTCATCTGCCACAGAGAAAGCGCCCAAAGGACCATTGAGCCTCCAGCCCCCAGGAACCCTGGACTCCCATGTGGGGAAGCAGGAGTCTGAGGAGTCTGTCTCCAGGGGCGAGTGTGTCCCACAAGGCCTCGTGGGAAAACAGCACAGGAGCCGTTCCTGGACCGGGCGGGCTCTCAGCCAAATTCCCAGCATGGAGGAGGCATTTGCTGAAGGGGACGGAGGTGCCTGGCGGGGTGGGGAGCCAAGAGTGGCAAGGCCGGACAGAAGTCATCTGGTTCAGCCTTTCTCTTGACCCACCTTCCTAGCAACAAGGTTTCCTTATCTGGTGGGCAGCATCCCTGGAGCTGAGCCCAGGCTGGCACGACCAGGAAGCCCTGCCTCTAGGCCCAGTGACCTCCGTGGGGGGTGCTGAGGGGAGCTGGCTCATGGCTGGACCGCAGCCCAACCCCACCCCCTCAGGCCATACCCAAAGCGTTGCCAGGACACCCTGGGCAGTGCCTAAGCCAGCTCACTCCTCCATAAAGCGCTGAGAGGCCGGAGCAGGCAGAGCCCCTGGACATGGAGCGCAGACGTGTCACCTCAGCGGCCAGACGCTCCTATGTCTCCTCCTCAGAGACAGTGGGGGGGGGTCTGGGTCGCCACCTAGGGCCGGGCGCCCGCCTCTCCCTGGCGCGAATGCCCCCTCCGCTCCCGGCCCCGCGGGTGGACTTCTCCCTGGCCGGGGCCCTCAATGCCAGCTTCAAGGAGACCCGGGCCAGTGAGCGGGCTGAGATGATGGAGCTCAATGACCGCTTTGCCAGCTACATCGAGAAGGTGCGCTTCCTGGAGCAGCAGAACAAGGCGCTGGCCGCGGAGCTGAACCAGCTGCGATCCAAGGAGCCCACCAAGCTAGCCGATGTCTACCAGGCCGAGCTGCGCCAGCTGCGCCTTCGCCTGGACCAGCTCACCGCCAGCAACTCACGGCTCGAGGTGGAGAGAGACAACCTGGCGCAGGAGCTGGCCACCCTGCTGCAGAAGTGAGGAGGGCTTCTCCAGGGGGGCTGCAGGCCTGCCTCCCTGCTCCCGGGGTCTCCTTGGCCGGGAGCCAGGCTGGGCCTCAGTACCTCCCAAGTGAGGGCCCCAGGCAGGCAGTCCTGGGGCTTCATTCACTGTTTGGCCGGGTGACAGCGAGGAGGGGGCGCCCTTTCCCCAGCCTGGGTCTGTATGTATGGAGGAACTAACGGGGGTTGGGGAGGGCAGACAACCACAAGGATGACTGAGGAGTAGAGAATGGGGGACAGAAGGCAGGCTGGAGTTCAAAACACACCCCACCAGTCACCCCCGTGTGACCTTTAGCAAGCCACCTCCACCTGTGCAGCCTTGGCATTGGGGGTCACCATAAAAGCTATTTTGTCTGAGACTGAGGTCTGAGACGCCCCAGGGACAGGGTCTGTGTTGCACTGGTAGCTGGCTTGGGAGAGAGGGAGAGGGTGAGATGGAGCCAGAGAGAGAGAGACAGTAATAGGGGGCAAGAGAAAGGGAGAAGGGGGGAGAGGGGAAGAGATAAAGAGAGAGGGAGCGAGAAGAAGAGAGGGAGAGAGAAAGATAGAAGGAAAAGGGGGGGACACCCGCAAGGGCAGGAGGGGCCGTGTGCACGTGGCGGTGAGCGCTGCGGGAGCAGGTGCACCAGTCCTGATAAGGCTCCTTGGTAAATGAGTTAAAGCAAGCACCCTCGACTGCTCGCTCTCCCTCCCTCCCGGTCAAGGGCTGTGTTGAGGACCCCTCCGGGCCTGGGAACATGAAGAAGGACCCAAGAGGCCCCAGAAACGTCTAGCCTCAGCAATGTGTGTTTTCCACCCCAGGCTCCAGGATGAGAGCTGCCTGAGGCTGGAGGCCGAGAACAACCTGGCCGCCTCTCGACAGGTGGGTGGAAGTGGAAGGGTGGGGCGGGGAGGAGGGAGACTTAAAGGCAGCCCACCCCACCAGAGCAATCCACTATTCCCTGTGGTCCCAGAAGAAAGAGTGAACAAGGCCGGGCAAGGGGGAAGGAGAGCCCGGGGTCCCAGTGGTCCTTTGTCTCCTCCTCACCCCAGGAGGCAGACGAAGCCGCCCTGGCCCGCTTAGATCTGGAGAGGAAGGCTGAGTCTCTGGAGGAGGAGATCCGGTTCCTGCAGAAGATTCATGAGGAGGTGAGAGAGACCACAGAGACAGCAGAGGGAGAGAGACGATGGACAATGAGAAAGCGGTACAGGGCAATGCAGGTGCAGAGAGAGACTAGGGCAGACAGAGACATGAGCGCATCCGGAGCCCAGGTACATGCGCGCACACTCACCCCACCGCCCGTTTCCTGGGGATTACAATGGGCCCCACTGCCTCCACTGTCTTTGCTCTTTCTTTTTAAAAAAAATCAGTTTATTGGGGGCCCATACAACGCCCGTCACAATCCATCCATCCACCGTGCCAAGCGCCCCTGCACATCCGTTGCCACCATCACTCTCTGTCGTTGCTTTTAGTCTTCTTCGCAACAGGCCCATGATGACCACTCCAGGCACTCCAGCACCACCCAATCCCCACAGCTTAGGGTCCGCAGGCCCAGAGAGGGGAAGGCGTCTCCTAGTCACACAACGCTGACCCCACTCCTCTGCCATCTGTCTCTTCTGACCTGAGAGCCACGCATAATAAACAACCTCCCCACCGGGATCTGACCTCACATGGATTCAGAATCCCTGTCCCCACAGGCACGCCCACGCCCAGAAATGCAGTCACTGTCCCTTGAGAAGGTGGCACACTTTGTCCAGCTTTGGTGAAGTGCCACCAGGGGGGCCCACACCATCCCCGGCCTCCTCCCAGTAGGGCTGCCCCACCTCCCCTGAGGCAGCGTTTTCCCAGGGGGTGGGGGCTGGAGACAGGCTGGGCCTGGGCCCTGAGACCTGGGACCCCTGCCCTCACTCTGCTCAGGAGGTCCGGGAGCTCCAGGAGCAGCTGGCCCAGCAGCAGGTCCACGTGGAGCTGGACGTCGCGAAGCCAGACCTCACAGCAGCCCTGAAGGAGATCCGCACCCAGTACGAGGCAGTGGCGTCCAGCAACATGCATGAGGCGGAGGAGTGGTACCGGTCCAAGGTAGCTGCACGGTGGTGGGCAAGCTGCCTCCCCCAGGCCGCCCTCCTGCACCCTCCGCACAAGCCAACTGGGAGGGACGGTCAAGGGGGCTGGGAGAGGATCTCCTAGGGTGATCCATCTGCAGAGGAGGGAGGTGGCTTTCCCAGGCTCACACCTTGCCCAGTCGGCATTTATTATTGTGTCAGAGCTTGTGCCAAGCATTGCATGGATTTCCTTATTATGAAAGAGGGACTGTTTTGTTTTTTCAAAACTTTTTTTTTGTGAATTAGGTGAAGGTTTACAGACAGGTAATAGCTTTACATTCCACAATTCGAACCCCAAAACACACACACACCAAACTCATTGCCACCGAGTCAATTCTCATAGCGATGCTCTAGGACAGGGTAGAACTGCCCCCGTGGGCTTCTTAGACTGTAACTATGGGAGTAGAAAGCCTCATCCTCCCGCAGAGCAGCTGGTGGATTTGAACTACTGACCACACACTGAGCAGCCCAACACAGAACCACGACTCCACCAGACGTGCCTTATTCACAATTCATACATATTCTAACTCCACTGGTCCATTACAACCCCCTCACTGCTCTCCCGCCCACTGCCTCCCTGGGGTCCCTGGTCCCCCTTCTCCCTTTTCTCCCGCCCTCTGAGCTTTGTCCTTGGGTAAATGCTGTCCTTTTGGTCTTCAACAGCTGATTATTCTAACACAGGGATGAGTTCAGTTTCAGAGCTGAGGGATAAGGGCCAGAGCCTTGGGGGTCCCATCAGTCTATCTGACCAGTAAGCTGGTCTCCTTTGATTTGGGGTTTTGTCCCACATTTTTCTCCTACTCTATCCAGGACCTTCTACTATAGCCCTTTTCAGAGCAGTTGGTAGTGGCGGCTGGGCATTCTTAGTTCTCCTGGTCAGGTACTGTTCTTCGATACATGAGAGGAGGTCCCGCCATTTGCCCAAAGTCACGCCCCTCCTAAATAACAGAACTGTTGGCTGTGTGACTGCAGCCCTTCTCCCTCTGGAGCACACCCCATCGTGCTGCGTCTGATGGCTAATGCATCTGAACTGCAGGCATTGCTGTGAGCAGCCTGAGCTTAAGCCACCACGCCAGGAGGGCACCTTCAGCATGCAGGGGAGAAGGCCCCTACAATCCAGACCCCACAACCTAGGGTGCAGAAGATTCTGGATTCCTGGACAGACCAGGTCCTGCACGAGGGCTGGCTACCAACCCTGCCCAGTGGGACACAGTCCCCAGGAATATAGCTGGCCTGGGCCAATGTCCAGGGGCCCCCTTCCCGTGAGCCATGCGGGCTCCCTGAGGTGTGGCCCCTATGGTCCCAGGACCCCTGACTGTCCCCCTAGTCTAAGGTGTGCTCCTTGTGTAGTTCACGGACTTGACCGATGCGGCCGCCCGGAACTCCCAGCTGCTCCGCCAGGCCAAGCACGAGGCCAACGACTACCGGCGCCAGCTGCAGGCCCTGACCTGCGACCTGGAGTCCCTGCGTGGCACGGTGAGCGCGGGCTGGCCAGTGGGGGTGGGCGGGGAGACAGGAAGAGGGGCCACATTGCCCAGAGATGCAGGAGCAGCAGCCCTACCTGTGCTGAGGGTCCCAGGCTCTGAATAAGTTGTTCCAGGGTGGGGGGGAGTTGTTCCAGGGGGACGCGCACGGAGGGCGGGGCGGTGGGCGTGGCGAGGGCGTGGTTGGGCGGGGCCTGGAGGGACCTGCGGGCTTCACCCCGCAGAACGAGTCCCTGGAGAGGCAGATGCGAGAACAGGAGGAGCGCCACGCGCGGGAGGCGGCCAGTTACCAGGAGGCGCTGGCCCGGCTGGAGGAGGAGGGACAGAGCCTCAAGGACGAGATGGCCCGCCACCTGCAGGAGTACCAAGAGCTGCTTAACGTCAAGCTGGCCCTGGACATCGAGATCGCCACGTACAGGAAGCTGCTGGAGGGCGAGGAGAACCGGTGAGCCCTGCCCACGGCCCGGGGCATTGCCCTGCCTGGTTAGCTGCCCCTCCGTACAGTTGGTCTTGCTCTCCTCGTGGGCGATGGTGGCAGTGGCGGCCGGCCTTGTGTCCAGTCCCCTCCTCTCAGTGCCCAGTACTGTGCCTGCTTAATACTCAGTAGGTGTTCAATAAGCGCTTGATGGATCGATGAGGCCAAGGATTTGGATCACCCCTCAAACTTAGAGACGCACCTTTCACCCTCCCAACAAGGATTGGCTTCTCTCTTCCTGAGCGACTTTTGTCTCCTCAGAACATGTCACCACTCCCGTGTCCCCTCTGCCGCTATGCCCTTGATCAGTGGTTCTCAACCTTCCTAATGCCAAGACCCTTTCATACAACTCCTCGTTGTGGTGACACCCCCCCAACCATAAAATTATTTTCACTGCTACTTCATCATTAAAATTTTGCTACTGTTATGAATCAGGGGACCCTCGTGAAAGGGTCCTTCAACTCCCAAAGGGGTCATGACCCACAGGTTGAGAACCGCTGCTTTAGATGGATGGGGGTGTCCCCTGGTAGATAAGAACCATAGCCCCTCAGGCTCCTGAAGCCCCAGGGAGCCCACTGGCTGCTGGGGGAGCTAGATGGGGTTGGGCTTTCCCAGCAAGCTGATGGGCTGGCATGATGCCCTTGGGCGGGCCTGGGGATGGCTGATGGCAGCCCCGTCACCTGTCACCTGTTTTCTTCTCTCTTTCAGCATCACCATTCCCGTGCAAACCTTCTCCAATCTACAGATCCGAGGTCAGTAGAGCAGGGCCTTGTGGGGAGGGTGTAGGACTCCTGTAAGCTGCTGCTTTAGCTTGGGTTCAACCATCAGGGTCTAGGGGTGTGGGACCCTCTTTGGAGACTCCTAACCAGGACACACCCTCCCAGGACCTTCCCAGTGAGCCTTCCAGCCACTCCCAGCCTGTGTCCTGCACCCCTGCACCCCATGCCACTGCAGAACAGGGGTGTGGGGTGTGGGGTGTCACCACCTGTGCCAAGGTCCCTGAGCAAATTCTGCTTGTGTTTTATGTTTGTTTTTGTTTGTTTTAACTGCTTGTCACTACAGGGGACAAAAGCACCAGAGAAGGGGAAGGTCCCAAGGTCACAAGACACCTCAAAAGGCTTACAGTCCAAGTTATACCAATTGAGATGCCCCCCATGGTAAAGGGGCCCCTGCAGGCTCTAGGTCAGCGGCTGGCCTCACAGACATGGGCTTTGCTCTGCCGGGTCAGGGGTGGCCTATGCCAAGCCCACCTTCCTGGGCTTCTTGACCTGTCTTTTCTCAAGCTTGAGTATTTGCCTGCTGACCTCGATGTCCAGCACAGAGAATGTAACTTAGACGAGCAGAGCTGGCCAGTGCTGACGGGGCTGTGCCCTCGAGTTCTCAGAAGGGAAGCGTGGGGCCAGGTTCTGCCTGGCCTCATCCCCATGGTCCGCATCACTGAGAGGTCCCCGAGGCTCTATTGCTCAGCTCCTTGTTGCTTCAGCCCAGACGATCAATCCTCCAGGCTGCTGTTCCCATGGGGACAGACGCTTGCTGCTCTTGGGTCATTTCAAATGAGTGAATGTGACATGGTATACTCCTCTCTCGGAGGGGGAGGGAACTCAACTACTTTTTCCTTTGGAGGGGGCCTCCAAATGATTCTTAGTTAAAAACAACCGGCTACTGTCGAATTGACCCTCTAGGACAGGGTAGAACCTGTCCCTGTGAGTTTCTCAGACTGTCACTGCTTGTAGGGGTAGAAAGTCCATCGTTCTCCCACAGAGGTGCAGCTGGTGGTTTTGAACTGCTGACTCTGCAGATCACAGCCCAATTCGTTAACCATTACGCTGGGGGCCTGGGAAGGCGAGGGAGGAACAGTCTTCTGGGCTAGGAAAGTAAGGAGCACTTGATAATGCAAGCCACAGGGTTTAACTCCGGATCAGAAGGATTATCCAAGCCAACCAGGTACTGGTAGTGCTGCCAGGTGACAGGTGGGAAAGGGCCGCTAGGCAGGTAAGTAGCAGAAGCAGAGAAAAGGAAAGGGGACAGGCAAGACAAGGAACTCCCATGTACTGAGCGCTAACATGTCCCAGGTGCTTAACATCGAGGGTTTCAACTCACTGAGTCCTGAAGCTCACCTAGGAAAGCAGGCAGCCTGTCCCACAGCGTAGACGAGGACAGGGAGGCTGAGAGGTAATCACTCTGGTGGGGGCCTGAGCTGAGACTCAAGCTCTGCCCTTCCGGATGTCAGGGCCTGTGTGTGCTGTCCTTGACACAATGCAGGGGGGTCAGAAAGCCAGGTGCCACACAAAGCTTTACAGAGGCTCTGAAATGAAGCCAGGCTCAGGCCCAGCAGGGCACATGGACCCAGGCCGCACCTCAGCCCCCTTGGAAGCAGTTCGGCTGCCCCCTACCCGGCTGGCTGGGCTCCCATACTCAGGAGGGGTGGGGGTGCCTAGTTCCCAAGAGCCCACAGGAGGCCTCCTGTCCTCACGCCTGCAGAAACCAGCCTGGACACCAAGTCCTTGTCTGAGGGCCACCTCAAGAGGAACATCGTGGTGAAGACGGTGGAGATGCGGGACGGAGAGGTGAGGAGGGAGGGCTGGACGATGGCCAGGGGTGCCTCGGGGAGCAGGATGGAATGTATTCTGCAGCCCCTCTCAGGGACACCTGGGTGGCTATGCCACAAGGTGGGATCCTACCTCAGGCTACACTTTTCTCACCCTCAGGCATGGGTGCCCCCAGCCCCAGGACTGGGAGAGTAAGAGAGTTAGGTTAAGACTAATGGCTTTC